TAGTATTACAAGAAAGAAAAACAAGTTTAGGTTTGTTACATAAGTACGTACTGTATGTACGTCCTTGCAGCCAAAAAAGGTGCATAATAATAACCCAATCACCTTTTGCAGTTCGTGCAACGCAGAACAAATTTATTACGTATTATACGGACAGAATCAGTTTATTTTATGCTCAAACGTGTTAATATTTAATTTTGCATTCTTGTGCCTTTGAAAAATGGCCGATCCTAATAATATAACTAAAGAAAATTTAACTGATGAATGTTCGGATGAAACAATTATTTTGAACGTTGGTGGTATTAAGGTATGAAATTGAAAGCTATATTCTTTTTAGACTATTATTTTCAAATCATTTTTTTAAAGTTTTTTATTGTTTTTCTTTGACAGTATGAGACATATCGATCTACACTCACTGCATACCCCGATACATTTCTTGGAACAATGTTTCAGAAAAGAAATAGGTCATTGTTAATTCCAAGGAATGGTAATGAATATTTCTTTGATCGTTCCGGACAAATATTTCACTATGTTATGCAATTTTATCGAACAGGAAAATTAAATCTTGAGAATCAATGTAGGAATTTTTTTTTTGAATTTATTGAAATTTCTTTTTTTTTTTTAATAAAAATAATTAATAGAGGTTTCAAATATATTTTAGTAGAGTTAGTATCAGTAACACCAAAAGAAATAGAAATCGAGCTGGACTTTTTTCAAATTCCACGACCAACATCTATTGATAAAATTGCAATTACAAAAATCAGAAAATTAATTAACGCGTTCAATGAATTAATTAGTAAAGTTGTAGAAAGTTATTTGAAAGAATCTTCCTTTAAAATCGATATTGATGTACTTTTTCTTAGTAATGGACAAGCTACAGTTCATGCTTTATTAGAAGAAAATTTATCGGATGTATTTTTAAGCACAAAACGTTATGCATATAATATTATGACCTTATATAAGGAAATAATTAAAGAACGTCTTGAAAATGAATATCCGGAATTAACTTGGGTACATCAACATAATGGAGAGGATTTACAATATTGGAAAATTAAACTTTCCATCTCTTGGACTTTGAATAAAGAAAAAATTATAAAAAATTTGTAAAAAAAAAAAAAAAAAAAAAAAAAACGAATAGGTAGGATATTTTATTTATACATCTATCATTATTTTCTTTGAATAATTGTTATATAAGAATGAAAAATGTTTATATTGCTAACTTACAAATTACAAATAGTTGCTATCATGAATAAGTGATAGTTTTTTATTTTACTTATAATTAAAACAAGTGATATCTGTGATGGAGTGTGCTCAATTACAAATAGCTCATCCATTTTATTTTTAAAATTTTTATTGAGATTAAGAGTACTAATACATTAGTTGGTGATCTTTAAATTTTACATTTCAAAGACAATATGATTTAGTTCATTAAGTTTTAGATAGGACCCTAACGTTATCAACCTAAAAAATTTCGCTATTAATGCAGGGTTAGGACTTGAGTTATTTGGATTTATGTTACACCTGGTCTTGAAATTTAATTCGACCAGATAGCTAAATTTTTCACTAGGGTGGTTGATTTGTGAATATGAAAAATTAAACTGAATGGCAGGCTTTAGTGAACATTGTTTATCTAGAAGGTTCCGTTTTAAGTTGGGCTTTATCGACCGAAAATACATAATATAAGAAACGAACTTACGACTATTAAAAAAGCTTTAATTCTAAAAATATATCAGTCATACGCAAAACTATATATAATCACAAAATCCTATTAAAAAAATAAATCCTTCTAAGTTGAACAATAATTCGCTTCGTGGCTGAGATCGACTGATAACGATATTTGATGTTTTATTTAAATCTACTACAAAACTTGCTAATAATCTACTTGTGCTCTTTTATTAATAATTCTAACTATTAGTATGAACTGGAATTTTGAATAATAAAACAAATACAACCTATACAAAAGAAGTTTGTAAATCGCATAATGCACTATATATTTTATTCTTTTATTAAAATTTTTTTATTTTAGAATTTTATATATAGACATAATACTTAATTTATAATAATAGAATTACTATTTGTACCCGGTGGGTATAATACCCGGTATAAGAAAAAAAACCAAAAATCTAATATCTCAAAATTTTACTAAGGTAACTATATGTAGGTATCTTAAGTAAAATTGTTCAGCACCTAATTTTGCATATAACCACACATATTTCTAAATCTAACCCTAACCTTAATATATATATAGGGCTCTATATAATTATTATACCAGGTATTATACCCTATGGGTAAAGATAGTAAATTTCTTATAATAAATATATGTAAATTATTAAAATTTTCCTATTTTTTAAAAATTTATACAATATAATAATTGTTGTAAATTAAAACGAAATCAGATCATAGTGCAAAATAGACAAGCCATCGAAAGTACAAAATTTTAAAATACATGTTTTTAGTTTTTTTTTTTTTAGGATTAAAAATTAGCTTTAGAGTAAAATTTATAATAAAACAAGTATAAGTGAGTTTAGTAAGATAAACCTAATTTTAAGGTCAGAAAAAATATAAGGTTTATACTCAAAACAGCAAAAAAATCTTTGTTAGAACAAATTTTAGAAATATAAAAACACCCGTATATACGAATAGTGTAATAGCAATATACAAATAGTAGTTTGTATACTAAAATAAAATCACGTTTACAAGCATATAATAAAAATTTAAAATATTCTATTAATTATAATTCTATTTTTAGTTATATCAAGATTATAAATATCTAATATATCTAAGCAATGCTTAATTATTACATAAATATAATCAACATGCTTGGCTCTTTACAAATACTTCAATCTATTACCTGCTTGAAAAAATGTTTCATTTGATGAATAAACATACATTTTCCCCGAAGATACACCAACAGTCATCAGATTTAAATCTAAAAAAATCAAAATTTAGCAAAATTAACAAAATAATATTTGCGCATTTAAAGCTATTTAAATTACATAATAATAAACAAATATACAAATGTGATTGGCGCAGTAAAATTGGTAACCAATCAAATTTGTATATTTTATTTATATAACAATACAAAAAACAAATATCTTATTTTTTTAATTAGCAAAAATAATTAATAATTAAATAATTATTAATTACCTGATGTTATCTGAATTGATGTAACAGGACTATCATGATGTGAAAATTGATAAATCATATTGTTACTTGATGCTAATGAAACATCCCATATTTTTACACAATTGTCATTTCCTCCACTAACAAGTATGTTACTATCAGGAATCCACTGCAATGACATGATTCCATCATGTAAAAGCCCATCATTTGGATCTTTAAAAAATTAATAAGTAATAGAAATCAAAATTGCAAATAAAAAAGACTATATATATTTAAATCCTAACTTACTTTCATGTCTTAACACATGTAAGCTTTGATTTAAATATCGTTTATCATATACGTATACAGTGTTCATCATTCCACCAAGTGCAATATATTGGTTATTAGGCGAAATTGATATAATATTAATATCCTTTTCACCAGTAAATGCACACAAAGTGGTTTGAGACAGCATATCCCATATATGCATGGAACCGTCTCCTTCTCTGTCTTCAAGTCCAGCAGTAGTCCCACATGCAATCCATTTTTCTAAAAAAAAAAATTGGATGTTGAAATCATGATATAAACTACTAGATTGGATATTTAAATCACTAAAACCTACCATCATGTGAAACATCTAAACAACTAACACTACTAGAAATTAATTGTTTATTATAACATGCCTTCTTTCTGCTATTTATATCCCAAACTTTAACTACACCGGCGGAATCATCTAAATTGCCATTATACCCTGCAATAACCTGATGGCTTGAAATAAAATTAACATCGCTTGATACTCTCTTACTTTTTTCTTCACTAAATTCTTGTGATACCATAGTATATGCTTGTTTTTTGTCAATCCTTATAAAGTGAACTTGAACTAACCTATATTTCATGTAATAAACGTTATAAATAAATATTCCAGTAACAGCGTCCAGACAAACATACATACCCTGAATCCTCGCATGATGCAAATTGATATTTTGTTCCATATATTGGCTTTTTACATACTGATAATCGATGTATTTTTGATTGGCAAACTATATAGAAATTTTACATAAATATAAATACAAATTGGTATCCCAAATGTTGATTGTATTAATTATGTACCTTTTGTGTCAAAAGGCTTTAGATAAGATTCAGCATCACCAGTTCGCCAAACCTATCAAATTGTCGTTAACAAAAAATAAAGGTTTGTAAAACTAAGAATATAAATAATTTTGATATTTGTAATCGATGGATAATTCAGTTACCTTAATAGATGCATCAGTAGATGCTGAAAAAATAAATTTTCCATCCGGTGAAAATTTGACATCTGTTACTGTAGTCCAAACATCTAGTAATAAAATAGATACGGTCATGAGGCCGAATTCGATCTTTAGCTTTCTTAACGTTGAGACTCACCTAATTTCGAACTCGAATCTTCCTCAACATGACCCCAGAGATTATAAACTGCTCCTAAAAATTAATTAGGAAAATTGATTATGGCGGACGAAACTTTCCAATGTACTGTACTATGAATAAATTATTACCCTGCCTAATGTCAAGAAATTGTAAATTTCCAGGAGAGTTGTAATTTGGATCTATAAAAAGTAAAAATTAAAAAAAAAATTAAAAATTAAAAATGTGAATATACGAACTATGGTAAAAAAAAAAAAAAAAAGACTTTAATAATATCCATACCTGCATTCGCAATATATCCCATAGCTACAGTTGGTCTATTTTATAACATATTAATAAAGCTAATACCAATTATAATGTGCAAAAATTGTAAAAATTAAACATACGCTGAAGGGTCGCTATAATTCAAAGAAATCTCATTCACATCTCCGCTTCCACATTTGAAATTGTAAGATTTTAATTGATTTAATTTATGAACAATCTGAGACTCGGATGAAGAAAACTAACATAAATGACGCGTATTTTAAAAACATGCATATATTGATAAAGTATCTTGTACATCAAATCCATTTAAACAAATTAAATTCATAACATACAGTCGTGGAATTATCCAAAATATCGTTTAAAGCCATGTATGAGATTACCGTGAAAACGTTGTCGATATCATATGACGGACCATCCTATTTAAAATTAAACGCAATAATTTATGTAATGATCGGGTAAAACCATATTCTAATTACGTAAGAGCAACTTACCAAATAAATTTCTTCTTTCATTGCTGCTTTAATCTTGTAATCACGTTTTTCAAAGAGTAATTTCTTCGCGATGTCTAAAATGCGACAAAACATTTTTACTAATAATTACAAGCAATATGTTCAAGGAACATATATAAAAATACCTCGTTCTTTGTCATGTTTAAAATAAAGCTATGCATATTAATTATCTAGTCAATATCAATTGAAATGTTTACATCTTTAAAAGCAATTAATTATTAAAAGCACAGCATACTGCTTTGATTTCAACATCTTGAGGAGATATCGATTGCACTTCAAATTCTGATTTCTGAGTTGGCTTCTGTATGCTTTGTGCTGATAAGTTCTGATTTTCGATTTTATGTGGATTCACTACCATATCTAATTTTTGTGGTTCTGAATTTAAAGCATCAATTTTTTTATGACTCTCAACGACAAGTGGCTGGGCTACTTCTTGTTTAGCCACAACGTGAGGAGGGTCGTTCGTCCAAGCAATATCATCCTCGTCATCGCTCGAAATGAGAGAAATTGGATTCGATTTACTCCCACTAGCAAAATATTCAGGTAGAATATTTTTGTCCTCATCAACTAATTCTAACTGGTTTTGACATTTTTCCCCTCGCAATTTCTTATCCAACAAACGTGGTGGTGATTTTGTACGTACAAAAGTATAGCGCTTCAATATAGTAGTAGCAGGACGTTTCATTGGAACAATAGGTATTTTATTTATCGGTCCACTATAAATTCGAGACTGAATGCACTGATTAGTTAAACATTGATTGTTGGTCAGTTTTGCACTAGATTTTTTTGATTTTTTGAATGATCGTGAATTGCTATGTTTTACAAAAGGCATATCTTTTATCATAAATAGTTTGATATATCACAATATTAGTAAACTTTTTACAACTAAATATTGAAACAACAATAAAGTTAGTAACTAAATTTACCGTTTTCATCCAATATAATTAGATCTGGTAATGACGAGTTATGGTCATCCCCCTCAATATTTATTCTATCGGCAGAGACAATATTGTCGCAGGAAGGCACGTCATTATGATCTGAAACCATCTCAATGTCACCAAAATATTTCACTTGCATAAGTTGACCAGGCATAGAAAGTTGAGACATCCCAAGAAATCGTGTTCGAATTATTATTGATATTTATGGGTAGAGATGGGCACGCGCGGGATCCGCGCGTGATCCCATGCGCGGGATTTTTTTAGAACAGGGGTAAAATCACCACACAAAAATTTTTCAATTGTCCTAACTAGCCAATCAAATTTCAATATCAGGTGTAACGTAACACGATCAGGAAAATTCAAAACAAACGTTCGCTTTGTCAAAAATCCAAAATTTAGTCTATGAAACCGTCTTCTGCGCACTAATAAAAAAAATTTCCTTGTAAAATTTGGTATAACAAACGCTTTTAATTCATAACTTAATAGTAACTTACAGACCCTAATCTAATAACGTAAATTTTTACTTATGATCCCAAATAAAATTTCTGGCCGGCATTATCTGACCTGCATGAATGTATCGACATGTATAGAATTTATTTGTATATTGTATACCATACTTAATATTTTTATATAGAAACGTGGACCAGACTTTTAGGGACCGTTCAGAACCAGTCTTAAACTAGTCCAGCAAACACATGATATGAATTGAGTGTCATTTTTGACACATCGAATAAATTTTAATAAAAGCGAATCATGAACAATGCTTTTGATATTTCCATTTTAAGATTCGCTAATTAGGCGTTCCGATTGGTGGATTTAGTAATTGTTTTTACTGTTATATCACAAAAATTATCTGCATTGTATATTAGACTAGGGTTGTGAACTAGTTCCTAACTAGTTCAGGACCAGACTTTTTAAAGACTGAGCTGGGACTGGACCGGACGGACTTTTTAGCATCCCTAATTTCTATGAATTTATTTATTTATTGGCATATCGTTTCGCATATGTATATATATTTAATAAGAATTTACCTTTTTGCCGTTGGTATCTTTTGCTTACCAAAAATTTTTCTTTGTTATAATAAATAGATATAAATATCATTAAATCGTTCTTTATAAAATAAATATAAGTAGGCATGGCCTCACCTTTGAAGATTAAAAAATAAATAAATAAATAAATATAAGTAACCATAATATTTAGAATCATTTTATAAAAATTGGACCGGTTCTTGCAATGTGTTTGGATTGTCAATCGTAATAATTTTCGGTTATGGATTGTATATTGTATCATATTAAAAATAGATTCAATTAGAGAATCAAGGCTCGATGAATTGATTATTAATTGAAATGAACTAGAAATCAAATTTTGAAGAAGCTAAAAAGTTGAGTATATAGTCTAGTAAAGCATAGTATTGGCTTGATTGCATTTATAATATATTGGTAAATATGCAGAATTGCATTTATATAAAATATATAAAGTAGGCAAATTGTCAAGTAAGATTTTAATATGAAAAGATTTTGAGTAGATGATTGTTAGTAGAAGAATTAATATAATTGAATATATTTATATATATATGTCATGCTTCAGACTAATGCTTGCCTCAGATGTCAATTGGCCTAAGTTAGGATAGGGTTAGAGTAAAAATCTGGGAAGGATTTGGGCTTAATTTAGGTCAATCAATGTCAATCAGTTAATGCGGGCCAAAAAGTCGACATTTGACGCAAGCATTAATCTGAGGCACAACATATATATATATATATATATTTTTAATCTTTGGCAACATTGCTAGTGATCTTTTATTAAGATTACTATATAATATTGAGCTTAATATTTAGGCCTGACAGGTGTGGTGACTTAGTGAAGTTGGTAAGTTATTACACTCCCAAGTGGCAGAACAAGAGTTTAAATTCCACTGGCAATGAAATTCAAATTTATATAATGTGCTATGGCAGACTATATAACATATCAATCAAGTTAGCACCTGTAACCTTGGTTGTACCAGCTCATACTGGGAGGTTGTGGAACAATAGTGTGACATGTAAATTATACAAATTCTAAGTGAAACAGTCAAATTAATTCAAGAAATTGGAATATAGAAGCCCACTTGAGAAGTCCTGAGTAATACAGTCAGGGAATATACCAAAAATAGATAGCACCGATTGCACCTTTTATAGTAATAAATCATCAATTGAATACATCTAGAAATTTCTAAAATGTGACTGTGATGATCCAAGAACGATCATTGACCAATCAAAATTAGAGAATATACAAGTATCGATAAACGAAAAAATTTTTAAGAATTAATTATTTGCTTTTATTTTTTATGTTGTTTTTACTATTTTTTGTTTATTTTTATATTAATTTCAAACACTAAGATACAGTATTACGCTGTGACAAATATCTGTAAACCATGAGTATCAATTATTCTCAGTTTTTTAGTATTGCTAAATGGCTAAAATTTAAAATCCACATTTGTTATCTTGATATCTAGCGAACTATACTGTGAAAGCTGTTAAAACACCTTAAGTTAATATAAATTAAACTGCATTCAAGAAATATTGCGCAATGATAAGGATCTATAATTTAATAGCTTATTTTTTAAAAATACCAATTAATAAATGAACTTTTGTTATCGATTAAATCAACATAAGCAAAATAAAATTAAAGATATTTCTTGATGGTAATATTTATAAAATATATGAACTTAAGTAGCTTACCTTAAAAAATATTAAATAAATTCAATAAGATTTAGTTAATTAATTAGTTAGACGAAATTCGAGAAGTAATTGTGTAATAATAAGGATCTATTTGAATAGCTTTTCTTAATCGATTAGTAAATAGGTTTTTTGCTGCCAATTCAATTAGTACTAATAAAAAAAAAACTGTTGAACCTCTCAAAACCAATCTTATTAAAATTATAACTTATTATCTGATAAAAAGTTTATTTACTAAGTCTATTTCTGCTATATAAATATAAAAGTTTATAGTGTTTTCAAATCTGATGTTCTCTTAATACTGATACAAAGTTTTGCTATAATGCATATTGATTTTGAGAGATTTAATGGTAGAGTATTGCATAATAACAAATTTTCATAAACTATTAAATCTGAGTAGCTTGTCAATTAAATCTTTATACTTAATGGCTTATATCTATGAAACTAAGAAGACACTATGTAATAATAAAAATTCAATTAATAAATAGTGATTCCAAACAAAATCAACACAAGTAAAAAGATATTAAGTAGTTGTAAAATGGCCTGTAATCTCTGTCTAGTTGATAAAAAGTATAATAAACTTCTAAGTTTTTGGTATGTTAGCCTTTTAAATAAATGTCAAATCTTGCAAGTTTTCAAGTCTTATCTACTTTCTTGGTAAAAGTTAAATAGCATAGATTATTGTGGATTATTTAAACTATATGTTTTCTACTATCTATCTATACGTTTATTCAAGAGCTTTTAGTATAAATTAAGTGCACAAAAAATTTTTTAAAAAATGCTATCAAGTAAGTGAATACAAGCCAATCAAATTTGAGATTTGGTATGTGGATCATTCTAGAACCTGATTTCCTTATTTAGTATATTCTCTGACTGTATTTACATATTTGATGATGAATACGAAACTTTAAAAACTGGTCTGTTTACTTTACTAATGACTCTCAATCTTAGGGTTGGAGGCACGGAAAATTTTTTGGGCATGCCCCCTGGGCATGCCTCCAATTTTTTTATTTTAAGGGCATGCCCTATAGGCATGCCCCTAAAATTTTTTGTATGCCAATTTTTTATATATAAATTTTTTAAAAAAGGGCATGCCCCTAGGCATGCCCCTGAGGCATGCTCTGAGCTACCGTGCCTCCAACTTTACTCAATCCACATCGTATAATACCAATATTTAAAACCAAAACAATACATATTGGAGTCTTTTGTCAAACCTACAAACTTTATATAATAAATTTTAAGCCAATATTCTAATCCAATAGCCTCAAATTGTCTGTGTATATTGCAGGAAACTCTTATATCACAAAAAAGCTTCTTGGGTTATTTATAATTCATCAACAATTTATTCTTTGCAAGTTCATATATCTAATATTTCTTTATCCTTTAAATCTGATGTTAGTTGTATTATTGAATTACAAGTTTCTATTTGCACTTTCATAAAAAACCTTCAACAAGGTTTTCTTTTCACCACCTATCTTTTATACCCGACAAAATTATCTCTGTCCCCCTATACAAATAAAGTATCTCTCTTCTATTTATCTACATTGTTCTTTAGAAAGAACTTCAAATAGTAATCCTTACTCAGAATACAGAAGTTTAACTGGCACTATGAATTATTTACATAATATTAGAGTACATATATAATATTCCAGAATTCTAGATGCTTTTTTAGAAGCAAACACTACCAATTTGATTAATGATTCTATTTATAACAACATTTTGTACCATGCTGCTAACTGGCTAGCCTATAATAATTCTTATCTTCATTCATTAGCTAGTAATTTGTTGTTAAATCTATTTAATAATCCTTTTTCAAGAGTTACACATATCCCAACTGACTTCAATGCACCTTCTATTAATCTCTATGATATAATAATACCAAATTATGACTTTCTGAATAAAGTTCATAACAAAGATTTTTATTATACTAGATTAATAGCTGGTTTTGTTTAAAAAAATGATAATTTACATCTACTAATTTCTATATATAACACTAATTTAGAGTCTTTATTATTTTATAATTTATTTACAAAAGAAAAGAACATTTTTATAACATATTAAGCCAAAACTAATCAAATGAAATATGTATTGAAATATACAAAAAATATATCAAACAATGACTAATAAACATTAACCCAAGGTAAAGACTTCATTATTACTGGCCTTTATAGTCTTATCTTCAATTAGAGAAGCTAAGACATCACCAAAATACTTAATGCCTATTATGATAAATCATTTAAATTCTAATAATAATGAATGTCTTCTATTAGAAAGAGATCTACTTTATCCTAGCACTTACACTTTACATAATATCATTAATAAAAATATAATGATTTTTATTCCTTTCTTTGTATATATAGGTGTTTCTACTTTCATCAAAAACAACTTCACTTAAATACTATATTATAAAAATTTAGATTATATACATTATTTATAACTCTGAGCATAGCAGAAA